CCAGATTTTCAAATAGTTGTATCTCGACCAAATATTGTCCTATCCTAACAAACCATACATCAATGGAAAGATTATTTATTCAGCTTTCAGATGATGTATAAATCTCAATTTCGAAAAATTGACCCTTATGACTGGTTTTGTGCTCCAGGGTCACATTTTATTTTCTGTTTCTTCTCATTTCTGCTCGAGACAGTCAGGGAGAATATCGCAATCTGATTATTATTTTATTTTTGAATAATTATTCATTTTTCAGGTGCTGTTTGTATGGTTGTATGGAAATACCATCAGAAAATTTTTGTGAAATTCTTTATATTTTTTTTTTTTTTTTTTTTTTTTTAATTATAAAAATTTAAAAATGAGTAGTCTCAGACCTTTGGACCCCACTACACATTTTACCTATATGAATATAGGTTTGAAACGTTCTTAAGTAACTTGCAATGCTCTGAAGACTTGTGAAGGTTACAGTACAGCATGCCATTTCATTTTTGGTGGTTTGAAGTGTTACTTTTAGATTTTTGTATACTTCTCTGTGTGGGGTCTTCACTTTGCCTTCTGTTTATTTTGACAGCATTTTCATACCAGTGGGGTGCATGTGTGTTTGTGTGTGTTTGTGTGTGTGTGTGTGTGTGTGTGTACTTGCATGTACACACTTGATGTGCAGAACTGTATTGTAGTGTGTGTGTGTGTGTGCGTGCGTGCGTGTGTGTGTGTGTGTTTGCTCACCGGGTGAATGACTCCAACCCTGCAGAGTTTGACTGATGTTCCTCATTCTTGCATGCAAGTAGGAGGTGAGCAACCCAAAACAATGCACCGTAATTTTAGACCAAACTGCCAGGCCCTCACAATGCGTCTGTTCTAAGGAAAGAGGCATCTAGGGACATGAAGCAGAATAGAGTGGGAGCTCAATTCATTCCCCATTCCAAGACACAATGTTTTGTGTTTCTGAAGTGTTTATTGATGGAAAGTCAGCTCAGCACAGCTTATAAATATTGTGTTTTCAGCAGTATGATTTGCTGCGTTTAAGCCCCCAAGACAATGACTGTATTGGATGTCATTGATTTTACATTTAAACATGGATCTGAGAAATCTGATGATAAAATATGAATTGTTCCATCCTCATAACTTCTTTTATGTATGAAATTATAGTTTGAAGAGAGGACGAGGGGATCGGGAAATTACACAAGACAGATTCGAACTCATTATGTCTCAATGTGTCAAAGCGCATATGCTAGCCGATAGGCTACATTAATGGGAACTTTTGCAGTCTTATGCAAATAAAGAGTCTTAAGGGACCTTTGTAATTATTGTTCACACCAAGAACAATAAGTACAAAGATAACTAGGCTATATTAGCGTCCACACCAACTCATGATAATATTCTGTTTATTCAAAGCGTGCACTGCCGTTTTGTTTTGCCACTTTAAATGATCTTAAAAGCAGGATGGATTCTGATTGTCAATCAGTCATCCTCAAAGTGATTCCAACGATATTGTTCCTTTATGTCATTATCGTTATAGTTGTGGTTTGGACTATTATTAATTAAAAAAATATATATATTTATCATTACAGTTTTTGTCCTTGGCGTGAACGGGTCTTCAAAAGCATAGTTCATCCAAAAATGTAAATTCTGTTATCATTTAATCACCCTCATGTTGTTCCAAACCTGTATGCTAGCTCTATCTCTAGACTTCAAGATCCAGTTCTCAAAAGTCTTGTGAACAAATCTGTTCTGTATGTGTTTTATGGCCTTTTTTCAGTGACTTTAAAATTGTAGTTTTTCACTAAGCACGCATAAACGTTGTTTTCTCAAAAACACAGTCACATACATACATGCTGCTCACATATTATTGTAGCACAGTTTGTGCTGATTACAGTTTTATTAAACTTTAGACATTCAAATGTTTGTAATCAACTGAAAAAAGCACAGATGTCAGTACATGTCAAAACTTTTCCAGGGCCCCAAAACACCCTCGGACCCCAGAGGGTTAATAAATGATGAAACATTCATGAGAACTTTCACAGCCTTATGCAAATAAAGAGTCGTAAAGGAATAATTCACTGAAAAATTAACATTTTGTCATTATTTAATCACCCTCATGTTTTTTCAGACCTGTATGCCAACAGCATGAGGGCTAATAAATGATGACAGAATGTTAATTTTTGGGTGAACTATCCCTTTAAGCAAAAGTAGTCCTTTAGCTTGTGTATAAAAGTGGAGAGGGATCCATATGGAGCCTCCAAGACCCTAACAGAAGAAGAAGCTGGTACGTAATTTAATTTCACCAGCACATAAAGGAGATTACAGCCATGATGGGATTCCAGAGGGCCAGGTAATATCTATCTCATTAGAACAGCTCTCCCAAGCATTCACACACAGCTGTTCTATGGGGTGGCAGTCGGCCCTCTCTCCTTTGCTTGTTCCTGATGATTGGCCTCAGAAGGGCGCTGGAGTGGAAAGACCCACAAGGTTGTTAGGTAGCGAGGGTCTTCTTTAAAACCCAGACCCAGCTGTCCACCCAGCCAAGATGATGGAACATATTTAAGGGGCTAATGGTCTGGCTTGCACAAAGAGCCTGCCTCATTTAACAGCATCAGAAAATAGACTTCAGAGAAGAGGTTTAACCCCGTTAGAGGGAGGGCAGCAAGCTCCTTAACCACATCAGGGATGGGAGTGAAAAGTCAGGCTGAGGGAGATAAGAAAAGAAAGAAAGAAAAGAGGGTGTCTTGGAGAAGCTCCCGAGTAGTCGGGATAAGAGCCAACTGCACAAACACAGAATCCAGCAGATATTTTCAGCATTTCACCATTTCATTGATAGTGAATGTGGAAACATGACAGGAAATGATGGAGATGATTTTGAAGCATGTGTCACTATACCGGGCTTCCAAGAATACAGCAGGTATTTAAAGGGAATTATTTCACAGCTGTTTTTTTTTGTCTTTCATAGCACTTTACAGCCTCTTTCTTATGACAAAATTAAATAATTTCAGCACAAATCAATAATTCATGCTCATTTATTTACTTAATAAGTGGCTGAATTAAAAAAAATTGGTAATGTTCAGTCAGCCCTCTCTGAATGAAGTACTGATCACTTTGTTAGGGGTTTATTTTTTACGATCTGTTGTCCCTTAAAGGGATAGTTGGCCCAAAAATTCCATTATTTACCCACCTTCATGTCGTTCCATGCCTGCAAGACTTTCTTTTCTTCTGGGAAACACAACACAAGATATGGAAACACTTTATTTAACAGTGTATAACAGTCAATTTTGCATAATTACAAGCAACTGATCCTCAACCAGTGGTGGACGAAGTACACAAATCAAGTACTTGAGTAAAAGTACAGATACGAATAATAAAATATTACTCCAGTAAAAGTAAAAGTACTCCTTTTTCGATTCTACTTGAGTGAAAGTACAAAAGTACTCGATTTTTTATGTACTTAAGTAAAAAAGTACTGATAGATAGATTTATTTTGCAATTTTATATAGGCTACTTAATTTAATTTTATATTAGCACATATTTTTTATAATCCTACTGCTCAAAATACCTGGGATTTTCACAAAATAACCACTATATGGAGTCAAGATATATCTTTGTTGTTGATATGGACTACGTTGACGAGAGTGATGTTGTAATGTTCACTGTGAAGCTTACACTGCGATGTACCTGAGAGAAAACAGATCTGACCATCTGATTTTCACCAGTAAGAAAAAAGTGTTTTAAAGCTTGTTGTTCTGCAGAATATCACAGTTATATATATGACATGAGAATAAGACCTGAAGTTAGGAAGAACATTTTAAGGAAAATATAATTATATTTTCATAATGATTTTTTTTCTTCTCAAACCTTGTCTGTGGTGTAAAAACACCCCTGGCCAAATGCCCCCAGAGGGCATCACTTCCCACTTTGATAATTACTGTAGTTACCATGTTCTGAACATCACATCCTTTCTTTTCCCCTCAGATGTAATCTATCTAGGTGGTTGAATAAAAATATTTGGACTTTATATCTAAAAATTACCTCAACTTAGCACCAGCAAGCTTCATCAGCTAACAATATTTACTTATTAGGGACATATTTGACAAAAAAGTACTAAGATTTAATAGGAAGGAGAAGCAAGTGTCAACTTTAAAGTTTGACCACATTAACTACAAAAAATTTGATTAGTTGTTAATAATCATTTTAATCTATTGACAGTCTTAAGCTACATTAAAAAATAATCTATTTTAGACATTATTCTCTCTAGATATGGAGAAAATTCTTGAAATCTAATGAACTATAACAAACTATACAATGTATAACTATTTCTTTTTGAGGTTGCGGTTGTCATGTCCGATATTCTGCCTTTGCAAATTGAGCATACAACAAATCTCCATTTATGAAAATGGTTTCAAAGTGTTTATATTCTAAAGAAACGATCTTGGGATCTTCTGTTCTCCTCTACTTTCCATATTTGGTACGTTGCAATTTTTCTGTGTAGTGTCATGTCAGCTGTGCAGACTTGGTGCTAGTTGATGGTTCCATGGCTTGCAATTTTTTTTAATGAAAAATACATTTGTTATAAAGTCATTGTCGAGTCATGCAGTTCAGGTGCAAGTCAAGTCTCAAGTCACTGGTTATTAAGTTAAATTGAAGTAATTTTCTTAATTCGTAATGAGCTTTTGACACCATATGAAATGAACCCACGGAAAAAAAAAATAACACAAAATCTTTGTCTGTTGCCAATGATGTTGGTAGATTTTATAATTGGCATAAGGAGGACCTGCTAATTTTGTTAAAGGGGACCTGTTATTCAAAATAGTTTTTGAACATAATTATGTGTCCGCTGAGTGTGTCCACAACCACCACAGAGCCGTACTTAGTCTGCCATGTTTATCTCCTCACTAGAGCTTTTAAAATCAGCACTCAAGTAAAAAATTTATTCTTATAAAACTACTTTAGTTATTCTGTTTGTTTTGCTCAACCAGTGGTGGACGAAGTACACAAATCAAGTACTTGAGTAAAAGTACAGATACGAATAATAAAATATTACTCCAGTAAAAGTAAAAGTACTCCTTTTTCAATTCTACTTGAGTGAAAGTACAAAAGTACTCGATTTTTTATGTACTTAAGTAAAAAAGTACTGATAGATAGATTTATTTTGCAATTTTATATAGGCTACTTAATTAAATTTTATATTAGCACACATTTTTTTATAATCCTACTGCTCAAAATACGATTTTCCCCAAATAACCACTATATGGAGTCAAGATATATCTTTGTTGTTGATATGGACTACGTTGACGAGAGTGATGTTGTAATGTTCACTGTGAAGCTTACACTGCGATGTACCTGAGAGAAAACAGATCTGACCATCTGATTTTCACCAGTAAGAAAAAAGTGTTTTAAAGCTTGTTGTTTTGCAGAACAGCACAGTTATATATGACATGAGAATAAGGCCTGAAGTTACGAAGAACATTTTAAGGAAAATATAATTATATTTTCATAATGATTTTTTTCTTCTCAAACCTTGTCTGTGGTGTAAAAACACCCCTGGCCAAATGCCCCCAGAGGGCATCACTTCCCACTTTGATAATTACTGTAGTTACCATGTTCTGAACATCACATCCTTTCTTTTCCCCTCAGATGTAATCTATCTAGGTGGTTGAATAAAAATATTTGGACTTTATATCTAAAAATTACCTCAACTTAGCACCAGCAAGCTTCATCAGCTAACAATATTTACTTATTTTTAGTATGGTTATGAATAAACATTCATATCTCTCTACTCGGCTAGTTAATCTAAACAATGTAAAAATGTATACTGTTGATAAACAATATAAAAACAGACGTCACAAAGGGCTAAATGCGTAGCATTTTAATAAAACTGTTAACGTTACGGCAGCGGGGAGTATGAATGCGCATTAATTATTTTATTCAGTCTGTGTTATTTTAATGTTTCGTTTTTTTGTTTGTTTTTTTTTTAACTTACATAAAATAGAGACACAGATGTTGATGTGTCTGCATTCAATCATTTCAGTGGGCTTAAATAGATCACTCTTTACAGCAGATTTAGTTCACAAACAACTGACAGTTTTGACCTAAATATGATTTTCAGCATCAGACGCGCGCACTCACAAGATCTCCCGGTTCTTAGTTGTGAATTCAGTTCACTGGAGACTCGCACTAAACGGATAATTTGAATCAGTGAGTTGTCGACTCGAGAACAGCTGCAATCGGATCATTCCAATTCGTGAATGAATCGTTTGGTGCGATTTGCGAACCGATTTAAAAGGTTAATTGAAAAGAATCAGTTCGTTCTTGAATCAGACACCGCTTCTGCGTGTCGGAGCACGTGATATATGGAGTAACGATATGTTTTATGAAATGTAGTGAAGTAAAAAGTACGATCTTATGCTTTGGAATGTAGTGAAGTAAAAGTAAAAGTTACTCAAAATAAAACTACTCCAGTAAAGTACGGATACTTGAAAAATGCACTTAAGTACAGTAACGAAGTAAAACTACTCCGTTACTGTCCACCACTGTCCTCAATAAAATCCTAACCCTATAGTAACTACATGTTGTTAAAATTATCACTCAGTATTTATTTGTGTAATTACTCTCTAACAATGACAACTTACAATTTAGATATTTTGAGACATTCTTTAAAATATAATTTGTTGTTCACAAAAGAAAGTAAGTAATAAATGTTTGGAAGGAGATGAGGGTAAGTAAATGATGTTTGAATTTTCATCTTTGGGTGAACTATCCCTTCAAATGCATGTATAAGTCAGATGTCATCTTGTATTTTTAAAAGTTGATTGCGCTGATTTTAACTTTCAGTACACTGTGCATTGCCCATTTGTGCCCGTAAATCTCTGCACAGCTTTACGCTTCCCTTCCCGGGCAAATCCATTCACTCACCCACAGCTGCGAATTGCAGTCATACTGAGCGACAGATATGAGGCAGGCAGCCGTAGCGGTTCACACGAAACAGATTTCAACAGAGCCGAAATCTCATCCGTTCGCTCTCCCTATCCGCTTCACATCCATGATGGCCTGTGCGCATATGTGTGTGTGAAGTTCAACCATCTGAACCCCGCTAATGAGCTCATTTCCCTGTGTTTCGAACAAGCCCGACAAGGGAGTCATCACTAACCGGGCGTTAGTTTGCATGTAAATCCGTGAGCGCTCCTGAACATTTGTGTACCCGTGTAAGCAAATGTGCCTGCCCCGAGGGTGTTGTTTTCGGAGGGGGTCAAGCCGATTGCTGACACAGTGTGAAACAGTCTCACTGAGATGCGTTCAAGGGGCCGGCGAGAGCCCGCTGGTGAAAATCACACAGAGTGGAGCTAATGAGCATGGCTCTGCAAATAGAGGAACATGCCAGGAAATAACCCAGCCCTTTTGAAACAACTCTCAGCACTTTGCTCTTCTGAGAGCTCCGGCCTCCTCTGGGTTTTTTCCCCGTGCTGCTTCGCCGCCCGTCTTATCTGCATCTGGAGCTCAGAAGCGCAGCAGTCACGCTCCGCAGAGAGGAAAGTGTTGAAGTGCATCTCGCATCTCCCGAGGCTGTTATCTTGAGGTTGATGAGCTCTGTGCTCTGCGAACATTACCCCGACTGCACCTGCCACAATCGAAGAGCTTTAGCCCTGTTTTGCTATTGAAGTCACGCCTGATCAAAAGAGCTTGCGCAGTCCTCCAGTTAATGAGATCAACTCCATTAGTAGCATTTCTCTCTATCTCTCGATGCAAAAAGCTACGTTGATTTCCCTTCCTGCAGGCGCTGAATCACAGTGACCCTGCTCACAGTAAGCTACCTGCCTCTGACACTGTAATTAGCTCCATCAGGCATTAGCATGCATCTCGCTGAGCAGGAATAGCTGTCTGGTCTGTGCCGTGTTTGCCCACCTTTGGCAGAATAAATGCATGCAGAAGTAGGTGTTGGGCTGGGGGCCGAGGGGCTGGATTGATTGTCCGGTGTGTCGGCAGTTGAAGAGAGAGGCTGTAATCAGCTCAATCAGCCCAGATTCGGATGGGGG